TCATCAGAAGGAGAAATGACAGAGTGGGAGTTAAAACAGCTCTGTATTGTTTGTGTGTGTGTGTGTGTCTCAGTAGGGCTTAAATCTACAATCACACAGCCTGAGCTGGACTTCTTACGCATTTCAGGAGATAAGCTACAGTGCAAACACACACACACATGCAAAATCTGTCTGGTCTGCAGAATCACACATTGCTTCCCTGGCAAAGCTTCAAACCATCTGCCAAAGGTCAAGGGTCAAATGAAAAGAAAGCTGTATATAAAGCACAACAACACACATTTTGCAGACTAACTGACTGAGAGGGTCACATAAACATATAAACAAGAATTCACAACTTACATCAACAAGTTATTAGAGAGAGAGAGAGAGAGAGATTGTTTAAAAATGTTTTGCTTCTCTCCACATGAGCTGATGAAATTCAACCCTTGTCTCTGACACTGCAGAACCATATATCTGTGTCTGTGTGTGCGTATGTGGGTGTGTGTGTGTGTGTGTGAGTGTAGACTGACAAACACACGTGCAGAGAGCTGGAATACGGCCCTCAGTGCCAGCACATGCACAGATGGGGAGGGGAAGAGGAGTGCTTAAATAGAGCACAGTACAAACACACACAACCACAGAAAAAGACAAGACAGAGACGAGGCCAAGCAGAGACATTTGGCTTTAGTTAATGCAGTGCAGAACAGAATTAGAGCGCTATCAGAGCGAGTCGATAAAATACACGCGCAGTTGAAATTAATAAATGTCTGCATCAGACGAATGATATCACTTCAACATGCACACTTGTGCAATCCAAATAGAAAACACTGTCTGCACAAATAAACCCTCCATCAAATATGTGTTTGTAACTTCTTAGTGGGTTAGACTGCAATATAGATTGTTAACAAGAGTTACAACAAGCTACACTGTGAATATGGTCATGGCTAAAGGTATGGTGTGCAGCATTACAATACAAGCACAATCATATTTAAAGATTCTTTACTTAACTTCATAGGGAAAAATATAATTTAACATGGCCGATTGAAGCTAAATACATTTGGTTACACTAAAACAATCTCATGGTAATTCGTAACTATTTTACATTTTGGCGAATTGGTGGCTAATACGTATGAACTTGTATTATCTCATTTCCTAAGATCTGCTTACGCCCAAGTGATGGTTATATTTAGGTGTGGGGTGGACTTTCTTACTTTTTTTCTAAAAATAGATGTCAATTCATGCAAAATCGTTTTAAGGGTCAGATCATTGAGGGTTAGATGTTTTTTTATTAAAATATGTGTCATGTGTGAATGCAATGATATGTATGTACATTTCACAACATTTTAAAATTGTGTCATCAAGAATTTCTCCTCCCTCCAAAACTGCCAGTCCAAACCGATAAGACTTTATCTTTGAAACACAAATGAAGATATTCAATAAAACCTGAGAACAAAAGAGCTAAATTAAATCTGTTTATCATATTAAGTGACTGTGTCTCTTTACAAGATTTGGATTAAACCGCTCTATGAATTACTTCCATGATATCTTTTTGAACTTTCTGAAGCATCAAAGTTTTGGTTGCCTGGACTTTTAATGGATGTACAGAAATCTATCATGTTTCATTAAAATATTTTAATTTGTGTTTCGAAAAAGAATGAAAGTGTATTTTTTTCATCACATTTAATTAATACACTCAGAATAAAGGTATAAAATCTGTCTCTGTGGCGGTACCTTTTCAAAATGTACATTTTTATACCTTTTAGGTATTAATATGTACACTTTAGGAACTAATATGTACATTTAAGGTACCAATATGGACCCTTTAAGTACAAATGTGTACCTTTTGAAAAGATACCATCCCAGTGACAGCTTTTGCACCTTTTGTCTGGTAGTGTAGCTGTTAATATTTGTGTGTGTAATTTAGTACAGCTGGTTTGCCATATTCACCCATCAGCATCCAGGACTGCAACCATCTGTTTATACATACTATATCACACAAAGATAAGAAAACATCATTCTTGTATCATTCCATGACATTTTCCTGTAGTTTTAAAACTAAAAACAGTGCATATCTCAAGCTGTCAAGTCTGGACACACTGCAGATATTTGGAAATTCAAGCAAACCAGTGTTTGTGTTAAACCCCTGAGAATACAGCACAGTAAAACAGTAGGTTGTGAAGGAGATGAGAAGCATTAGGAGATATCTGTGCGTGTGTAACACGGCAGGAGGTTGTAACCCAGGGAAAGCTGTCAGTCACAAGGCTAAGCCGCTGTTGCCACGGGGACGTCGTCTAGCCAATGGCGTAAAAGACATGAGTCCCCAAAGACAAATATACACTAACACACATGCACTTACAATCTCATGAAACACATAAATACACCAGGAGAGAAAACCAACAGCTGTTCTGATAAACAAACAGAGCTGTATATTCCCCAGCTTTAAAAATAAAACTATAACCACCAGAGAGATTTTTCACAGCATATCTAAACTGAGGACACAATCCAAATAAACACAGTACTATATAATAAGATTACAGTTTTATCTAAAATAATTGACCTCACAGAGGGTGAACATACTCTCATACAGTGAGAAAATCCTGTTGGTGCGAGTTTACAACCACAAAGAGCTTGTTAGACAAACACACACACCCTACAGATATACAAGCAATCCTGCACCTGTACTGGGAAAATGAATGACAGGTATGCACGCACATGAATGCAAGCCTTTGCCAAACAATCAAACGACTATGTATGCCAGTAACAACTATGAAATTAATGCTTTCTTTCCCTCTCTTTTACACGCATACACAGCTGGAAGCATATGACAGCATGACTAAACTATCAATTCACACAAACTGTCAGAGAGAATGAATAAAACACAGGGCACTTGCCAGATAACAGAGCAAAGTTTCCACATAGAAACAACACAATTCTCTATTTTTTGCACCCTAGTGGAATACATACTGTATATTTAAGTTACACTTTAAATGTCAGTGAAACAAACCGCCACAACTTGTTCAATCAGTTACGCAGTGCGATCCTCTTTCGCTGAGCACTAGTGTAGGAGGAAAGTGTGCCTTTGACCCTCATAATTAACTTCACAGTTGTAAAAATGCAAATATGTCTACTGCGGTGCACAGGGTGCCAGCAAAGATTCAAACGAATGACCTGTAATGGCTTTACTGAAGTCAACATGCATTTAGGGCATTTAGCAACGTGCAGGGTTCCCATAGCTTTTCGCTAATGAATATCCATGGCTTTTCCAGTCGTTCGTGATGGCTTTATGGATTTTTAAAAGCAATTTATAAAGTTCAATAAGAAATTTATAGCCAAATATTTTAGAGCTAAAAATCTTTGAAAAATGTATATTAACTCTTAACTTTTCAAGCCACTTTATGCATATACAGTATGTGCAAGTATATATATGTATATATATATATATATATATATATATATATATATATATACACACACACTTGGATTCATACATATGGATACATATGTAACTACAGAAATTAACTGCATGTGTAATTGCATGCAGATATTTTTAAATATAAATACAATGTATGTACACAATAAGTGCATTACATCAATTAATAAATGTTAAAGACACTTCATATAAAATGGGTCCATATAGGTAACACTATTTTACATTGTCCTTGCAATACGTTACATGTACTTACTCCAGAAATAACAGAAAGTTATGCATAATTACATGCAACTAACCCTAAACCTAACCTGAACCTTATAAATTGATAGTGTTAATTAATATTACTCAGTACTTAAATGTATAGTTACACTGTAACAACGACACCTTAAAATGAAGTGTAACCTTAATTATACTACTTTTCCAGGAAATTACTATTTCAAAATCCTGTTTTCTTGATTTTCCATGACCGTGGGAATCCTGAATGTGGATACACATCGGAAAAGCTAACAAATGCTAGTAACACATATTACATGATGTTATATTGCGTATTAGTCAAGTCATCTGCATTTCTATAGCAGTTTATACAATACCGATTATGTCTCAGCAGCTTCACACACATAGAAAAATAAGGGGACAGAATCGTACCTTTTGGGGTACAACAGCTTGTCCCTGGAGCAGTACCCTTAAAAGGACATATTTGTACCTTTTTACCCCTAATAGGTACATATTAGTACCTTTAACCATACGAGTACCCTTAAGGCACTAATATGTACCTATTAGGAGTAAAAAGGTACAAATATGTCCTTTTAAGGGTACTGCTCCAGGGACAAGCTGTTGTACCCCAAAAAGTACAATTTTAAATCTGATAAACAGGAAAACAGCAGAATCGCTTACTGAAACTCAACTATGGAGACAATTCAGATTTCGCAGTAAAACTGCTCTAGTGTCATTATTTAGTTCAAGTCAGTTCAGTGTTGTATTACTAACAGTTAATGTGCATACATACACATTCTCATATAAGTAACTTACATACTAGTTATTAATTAACGTTATTCCGCAGTACTCACATATGTAAACACATTTAACGCTGTAGTGCAAAGTGTATCCGTTCTTTCTCAAGATCTGTTTGAAGTAAATATCAATATACAAAGATAAAAGGGATGTGTATATAAAATAAGACACCTCGTGATGAAGCTGTCTCAGTGCTGTGGCGGAGCGATGGAGTTTGGCGCTACAGCGGCAGTGCAGTAAACTGTCTCACAACAGCTGATTAGCCTGAGTGAAGTCCCGCTGAGCTATGACCACACACACACACACAGTTGCTTTTTTCCCCTCTCTCTATCATAGTAACACGCCCAGCCTTCGACTCATAGTAAAAGCCGCCTGAATGTCTGTTGACTAAACAACTGACAGAAACAAACCTAGCGTTACCAGCTTTCAAAACAATCAACTTTCGCTGTCATATCAGTAGTTCCGCCAAACTTTATTTCTGACAAACAAGCGAAAATGAATCGGTAGAAGTTATATCAACTGGAAAAGGCTAAAAACAAGCGTAAGCTGTCCTAATTAAGGGTCGTGAGGTAAGTTTTACCGTTAGCGCAGGCGAGTCGCAGGCGCGGATGACTCCGGCTCTCCAGCTCCAGCGCGAGACTCCCGCGGGCTCCAGCCGCTCTCCGCCGCTCACGCACAGGCAGCGCTTCCCCACCAGCTCCACCGCCATAGTACCGCAAAGAAGTGCGAGAAATGTCCACGGACAACAAGCAAACGTACTCCTACTGCGGGCTGCGGTGTTGACACATTATTAAAATATGGTGATTAAAAGTAGGTTCTTGTGAGTTTGAGTACAATGGGTTAAAATTCCCTGCAAAGTCCTCTAGCGAACGCTGATGTCTCTGTGCGCCGAGAAACTGATTTACACTGGGAGTAGTAACAGTCACTATGGCTCGCTCTCTCTCTCTCTCTCTCTCTCTCTCTCACTCACTCCCTCACTCACTCACTCACTCACTCACTCACTCGTGGTATTCATCCGCCCCAGTTAAAGCACACAGGACTATCAGACCGCAGCGGGCAGACTTGTCCGTCCGCCAGACTTCAGCTCACTCCTCTTTTGGAGGTTTTCTCAGTGCACTGCCACAGACTACAGAAAACTAGTCCCTCGTCTGCGCTTACATTCTGAACTTGGACTTCACAAACACGTTTTAAAATTACAGTTTATAAATTACAGGTGATAAATGATTGATTGGTTTTATAAGAAACTACAACTTTATCGCAAAATACAGTCTAACTACATCTGATTTTTTTAATCTACTTTATAGTTGCCAAGAACATGTACTATTTATTTGTTTGTTTGCCACAATTTACCAAACTGTTTTGCTTGGAGAATGCAGGCATTCTTAACACAACTACAGCTTAATTATTTTAGATACCTGATCATTTTGATGTTTAGAATACCTGTTTGTTTGTTTGTTTGTTTGTTTATTTGCCACAGTGTTCCAAACAGCACACATTCTCAATACAGCTACACCTGAATTATTTTTAATTACCTGATTATTTTATCAACCTTATAGGTGTAACTGCATTGATAATGTGTCCATTCTCTAAGGAAAAGAGTTTGGTGAATGGAAATAAATAAATAAATACACCCTGCAGATTCATTTATTTATTTAGATCAGACACAACTTTTTTCCTTGGAGAGTGCACACATTCCCAATATAGGTACCTGAATAAACAGTGATAAACTGTACTCTAATCTCATTCACCCTGTAGATTTAAAAGTGTTGTATTCCAAAGTAGGCCTAATATTTTGTTCTGTCATTTTATTTAATTAAAATTTGATCATTTAAATTTCCCTGCCATCAACTGGGTATAATCATCTGTATAATGTTGCTAAAAGCATCCAAAAGTGGTGTTAGTGGTTAATTCTGTATCAAATGACTAAGTGTAGGCTATACTCGGAGCGGCTGATGTCATTGGGCATGACTGGTGTTGTCATGTGAATGGTAAAAATAAACTCAATAAACTATTAAACTAATAATCATAGTTATGTGGTAACAGTTACTATTATTTCTAATGTCTACATTCCGGGAACCTCTCAAATCTTATGCCATATAACTTTCTCAGTTTTTCAATGTTTAGGAATGTAAACAGTCCATTAACAGAGAGGAAAAAACATTACTTTATAATGTTGTTGGACTGCCCTCATGTGTCGTGCACTGGAAATGCAGCAGACTGCACTGAACCGTCTTCAACAAAAATTATAATTGTATGAATATACTAAAAATTTAATAAATGTAAACAAATGCAAGGGTCCTGTCCTCTGTTTGCACTAGTCAAGAACAGTATGAATTACTGCAAATAAATATTTCCTTTTTTATATATATATTTATTATTTAAAATGACACTGCATTACATAAAACATTAAACTAACTGGGATCTGGCATCTGCTAAAATTCACTCAAAACCCTTTTTGCAGTTACTTCGTTCTAACCAGCAGGTCTCAGTCTCAAACGGGGTTGTGTCAACGAAAAATAGTTACCATAAATAAAATTAACGTTAAAATAATAAACATAAATAAACGCGTTTTTCCATCTAGTAGCAAACATTTCTCATTGTACATTTAGTTTAACTTGATACACTAAATACAAATTACTCTGCAGACTTTTGGGTCACTGCAGCAGGTTCATTCATCATTCAATTCAGTAATAAAATGAACACGTGGATTTTAAACAAATGTTAGAAGAATGTTTACAAATCTCACGCCGCACGTGACAGGGGCGTTACCTTTGAGGAGCTCCACCCCTTGTTCTTTCTCTCCCCATTCATTTCTCATTCAATACTTCCTGTGAGAGGTAAACAAATGGCGCTCCGCACTCCAAAGTGTAAAATTATTCAAAATGTAAGCCGTATACGCTTATTTAAGAGTTCAAAATGCCCGGACAGAAGAGAAAATAGAATGTTCGCTTTCCAGCCGTGAGTATTTCTTCATTTTCGTAGTTAAATGAGCATTGTGTGAAGCACTCTGCTGCTCAGATGAACCTCTCAACTCATCCTCCTCTTCGCCTCATGGCCAGGGACGCATCAAGAAAATAATGCAAAAGGATACAGAGGTTGGACGAATCGCTACAGCGGTACCAGTCATCATATGTATCCTTTCAAAACACCCAATGTTGAATACTGGTGGAGAGTCATTCGTAGTCAAGAGTCATTTGCGAGTTGATTCTTATGAAGCGTGTAAAGATTCTTTACGGGTTTTAGTAAATTAAAAAAAGAAAGAAAGAAAGAAAGAAAGAAAAAAAAAAAAGCCAGATTAAGCACTATTCATATATTTTTTTACCATTATAATCATTATACTTAAATAGAAGAGTGGACTCACTCGAGAGTCGACTCCAAGAGTCATTTTCTCGACTCTGACTCTGACTGATTCTTTTGTTCTAACGACTCCTTAGTTCATATTTTTTAGAACGCTGTGATTGGCTCAAATCAGTGAAACAGCATTCTAAAAACCAATCACATTGCTTATTTTAACCTTAGTTCAGACTTTTCGGGCCAAATATCAACTTATAAAATAGACTATAATGTAATTTATTTAAATATCTGAATTAATATAACTTTTTTTTTTATTGCAATGACACTAAAATAGGCATAATTCCATTTATGTATTTAATAATTCTATTTATTTATTTAAATAAATAATTTAGTCCTATCTATCTATCTATCTATCTATCTAGCTAGCTATCATCATATTGTTCATTATTCATATGTAGTTCTTCATACTGCTGCTATGTTCCATAACTGCAGATTTAGCTAAAGCTTTGGAAATGTTCTTCAGATCTCTTCTCACCATGACCTGTAAAATATCCCAGTCCAGGAACAGCAGAGTGATGTCCATAAATCACATGTGAGGTTCAAAATAGGCATCCTCTTGTCTTAAAGGGGTCATAGGATGCTACATGCACTTTTACAAGTTGTTTGAACTGAAATGTGTGTTGGCAGTGTGTGTACACAACCACCCTAAAATGATACAAATCCACCCAGTGTTTTTTTTTATCTGGTTAAATGTTTTCCCCTTTCTCAAATCGAGCCGATCTCGATCTCTGTGTGACGTCACAAAAACAGGCCCCTCCCACGATAGTTTGATTGACAGTAGCGTTTCAGCACAGACTGGACTGGTGTCTTACCTTAGACCCGCCCTGAGTGAGCTGTCATCAGTCCGCCATTGTTTCACCGCTGGAGCAGATGTAGACAAGAATGACTCCTAAGCGATTGAGGTGTTTTGTTGTTGGATGTAATAATGAACATAGCAGTCGTCATTTACTCCTGACATCTGAGCCGCTGAACTCGCAGTGGATTATGTTTGTTTGTGAAGGGAATGCTCCCCTGATCTACCTAAATGCATCTATGTTTGGGCGAATAATTCGTGATCCAGCCTCATCTACAGAAGAAGTGAGTGTAAGGTTTTGTAATGAATCTTTGCAAATCGCCTTTCCTAATAATGTGCTAATTAGCTAGTTTCACGATTAATGCGGCTAAAGTAAACAGTCTCTCTGAGAGCAGCTCGGAAGAAAGGGGAGGGGCGAGAAGAGCTCATTAACATTTAAAGGAAAATGCTACAAAAACGGCAGGATAAACGTGTTTTTTACACTACCATTGAGAAATTTTAACCAAACTATGTTACAGACTTTTTATTAAGACCCTAAAAAATCATATCAGCTTGTGGAAAATGGGCATCCTATGACCCCTTTAAATAACATAACTATTCTTATGCCTTATCCACCGTTTTGTGAGTTTGTGATTTCCCATCTATTTCTGTTCTTTTATTATACTTTATTATACATGATCTTTGTAGGAAACAGTGCATTCATTCAGAGAAGTTGTTTGACTTCCTGAAGGATTTGGCAGATCAGGCCTCCACTGCATCAACATCAGAGTGCAAAACTAAGGGCAAATGGCAGTCACACAGGTACAGTATAATTTGTGAAAACGCACAGGGGCCTGGCAAATAGATGAAAGCAGATACAGTGTTTTCCATACAAGCCACCATTGTAATCAAATGATCTTCCTTTAGGAAACGGTGGCAAAGTGTGTCTATCAAAGCCAGGTCACCGGAGAGGGAGGAGCCGCCCCAGAAAGCCACCAATGATTTGGTCATCAACAGTGATTCATCCAGTGTGAGTTATTGTGATTGATTTTACTGACACAATGTTAAGGAACTTGACTAGGGTTGTTTGTATTTTTAACCTTGTCAATGTTCTTTATGTACATTTCTTTTTCAGGAGTCTGAGCTGTTCATCTGCTTGGAAACTCATTCACCTTGACCGGGCTTTTGAAAAGGTGAGATTTGTGCTGATATATTCATATGTAAAACTACTACATCAACCCAGTGTTCTGCAAACTGTAATTTTTCCTTTTATTCTAATTTAAGTTTGACAACAATCTCTCGCTGAAAACTGCAGTGTTATTTATGAAGACCCAGCATCTTTTTTTGGGGGGGGGGGGGGGGGGGTGTTATTGTTATTCTTAGCATCTGACATAAATACAGAATTTTTAATTTGTGAAATTGCTCTGTTGTGGTATTATATTGACCATGAAATTAATTATAGCATTTTTGTTTTCAAGTTTTCCAGGGAGTTTTAAATTCCGATAAGGAAGAAAATAATTAGTTTATTATATAAGAGATTTTGTGATTTTGAGCAGCTCCACTATTTTTCTTTCAGTTGGATTCGTAATTAAAACTGTAGTTTGAACTGTCTTATGTTTATAATGTAACATGATTTTACTAAGCTGAGACGTGATTATATCATATTTATAGTTAAAGGTAAATATTTGTTCTTTTCTTTTCTATCTGTCATTGTTAAAGGCAGGTCACTGTTTTGTTACTATTATCCACAGTAGGTTACAGAGTTCTTTAAGCGGCATATTGTATGACAAGGTCAGTTGTATTTTATA